TTTACCCTTTTGGGTGCTCGGACCCTAACAAGGTTGAAATGAGAATCACAGTGTTGTCTCCCCTCTGAAGCTATAGAGGAGTGAACTCTGAGCATTTTGATTTTCCCCTGGGCCTTTTTCCCTCCACAACACACAAACACCAGGAATCCGGCTGAAACGACGCTCCAGAGGCTCGACCTGTCTGTGTGTGTGTGTGTGTGTGTGTGTGTAAGTCATGCATGTGCATGTGTGAACATACAGTACATATTTGTGAGCGCCCCAGAGAGTGTCCAGAGGGCGAGTCTGTGGCAGAGAAAGGGAAAGTGCAGCCGAGGCCCCTTTTACAAGACAGAAAGGAATTTCTCAGGAAATGAGTCGAAGGATGAAGATCGAAGAGAGCAACACGACACTTGACCTGAAAGTGGCACCTTTTCCTCACTGACAATAAAATAAAAGAACATTTGTACACTTTTAAAACCAGCTTTTAACTTTATTGTCTGACTTGACTCTTAAAATGTCAGGAAAGTATATATACTGGAGATTTAGATGGAATCCACAACAACACATTGCACATAGTGTCTGAGGATTATATTGAAAGTCTGTTTACAAAACCTAATTTGCAGCTTGAAAATGTTGCAGATCTACGTGTAAAATAGAAAAACTGGAATCGAAATTATGACTTTTATTTAAAGACCCACCCCAGTGATAATCTTTTTGAATTTTATTTACCTTGTCAGCTTGTCTATGTGTGTTTTTATAGGCTAAAAGTGATATTTCTGACTTGAAACTAACTTGAAAAATATTACAAATATACCAAAAAGTTTTCAGTTCATATTGAAAAAAACTGCATTTAGAATTATGTTGAACTTTTAGTTTCAAATGTCACAGCTTAAATCCAGCTGCTGGATCTCTTGTTAAACTACGGCAAACAAATTCATCCAGAGGGTCGTATCTCATGGAGCATTTCCTCAGCAGACCAAGAAAGATAAAGCTCACAAATACCATTTCAAATTATATCATTGAGCAACTTTGCCTGGATTTTAAAGTGAAAAAGTACTTTTAGCAGAAGATTTTTTTTCCTTGCATTCACATTCAGACAAAATTTTGCATAAATAATCTTTTTAATGTTTGTGTTGAGTGAACATTGCTTCTGTTCTTCTGCATTCATAATTAAATCTTTATCAACGCTGCCGCAACATGAAGCTGTTCAGAAACATTTATGTTTTTCTGTAGTATTTGCTGCTTTTTACTTTGCAGATTTTAGTCACTAAAAAAATTATTATTCTGTTTAGAACACAAAGATTGATCTCTGAGTAAAACATCTAATCGTACATTTGACAAACTGAGAAAACACTGACAGAACAGTTTCCCTGTGTGATGTTCTGGTGAAGCTTCTTGTGTTATTTGTGTTTATTTACCATGTTGTGTTGTTCTGTGTGTCAGTTGTGTACCAGGGCATGAACATGACCGTCTGTTACCCCAGTGTGGGGCAAGACGGCATCCAGAACGAAGGCAACGCTGTGGCTATAATTGGAGCTGCCATCATGTACTGCTGTGTGCTCTTTGCATGGTGAGGAAACATCGCAATCTAAATAATAAATAATGAGATAGAACCTGTTAAATTAAAGGGATTCAGTGGAGATAAACGTGCTCTGATCTCATTTCCCTGCAGCAACGAGGCGTCCTACCTGGCTGAGGTGTTCGGCCCGTTTTGGATGATCAAAGTTTATCGCTACGAGTTCCAGAAAGCCACCTGCTGCTTCTGCTGCCCCGAGGAGGAGGAAGGTTTGTACCGACACACTTAGCGCTGTTTTATTTGTCATCTTACAGGCACCTTGTGATGTTTTAATGTCAGATTTATGGAATATTCTGACAGAAAAAAAAAAGAGTGACCACCATGTAACCTAGTATTCATGCCCATCATGCAGCCTGACTCACAGCATGAACCAAACAACAGACAAAAGACCAAAAACTGTTGTCAGTATTGGTTATATGGTTGCAGCATCAGCATCAGTTTACTACTTTGCTACACAACATAACACGTTTTTTTCAATAACAGAGATATCACTGCAGATTATCCAACACATGTGAGTCAGCGGAGAACTTCTACAACTTCTTGAAAGCCTGTAATTTGTTACCGCTCTATTTAATATTCATTAATTCAACTTTTATTTAAACACAGTACATTGAGGCATGAAGGCCTCATTTACAATTTAGTCGAGTGAGAGAATAAAAGAAATTTCTACAAGGTAAAGTTAGTGAATTAAAAACAAATCAATTCACAAATATCTTTATTAATATTTATTTTATGCTATAGTTAATTGAGGCAAATCAGAGGTGACTGAGCAGGAACAGTTCTAAGCATGTGATGATTTGAGATGAGTTTCTTTAAGAACATTTATTTTTATAACACTAAGCTGTGGTGAATATTGACTAAAGTCCCTCTGATCTGTGATTTTCCAGTTGAAGAGGATTTTGTGATCGACGACGAGAACAAAGGCTGTCAGAAGGTCATCCACAACGAGTACCAGCGAGTGGCTTACAGCTACTTCTTCTTCCACTTTGTCTTCTTCTTGGCTTCGCTGTACGTCATGATGACGCTCACCAACTGGTTCAGGTGCGTCGCTGACCTTCACACACCTTCTGCTCCTTCACGTTTCAGTGATTTCTAAGCTTCTCTTCCGTAAACTGTCCTCCCGCAGCTACGAGTCGGCGGTTCTGGAGACCACCTTCACCCACGGCAGCTGGTCGACCTTCTGGGTGAAGATGTCGTCCTGCTGGGCCTGCGTGATGCTCTACCTCTGGCTGCTGCTCGGCCCTCTGTTCAGCTGTCAGTCCGAGTCCAGGCCTCGGCGCTCGCGGATCAAACGCCGCTCGGCGTCGTCCCGCCACGTCACCGTCAGCGTCTGACACGAAGCGACGCGTTGACGGGAGGTCAGACGACTGCGAGCCGCCCCGCAGCACCCGGCGGGACGAAAGGCGTTCGGGAACGGAGGCCGCTCAGGTCAGAGGTCAAAGACTCACCGCGACGTGAGGAGAACCGATGAAGAAGAAGCCTGAGCGCTCGGCGTCCTGTTGACACGAACCAACCGCAGACCTGAAGTCACAGGATCTGAAATTAAACCACTAACAAGGACGTGACGGTGGTTCGGAAACACATTTACAGTATGAATTGCCAAAGGGATCAGAAGGAGTGGAGGGAATTACTGTGAGACATTTAAGAGTTTTTATTGGTTAATTGTAGTAGTATTTTTTATTTCTTGGCAGTATTTAGACATTTAATATCATAACAGAGGAGGAGTTGAAGATATTTGCTGTAATGTTGCTGCAGAGGAACAAACAAACCCAAACATTTGAAAAAGCAGGATCTGCTCTGAAACAGAACCCCGTTAGTCATCTGATCTCAGACCAACAACTGAAGGCTGTGAGCATGAACAAATCTTTCAGAAGCTGCAAACAAGGAACCAAATGCAAGTTCAAACATTAGCAAGAAGTGGAATCATCATAAAAGTCACTCGAACAACCACAGAACTAAAATAAATAATTCTGTAAATCCTCTTTATAGCGGTGTCTAATCCTGGTTGTCTTTGAAACTAAAAACTACAAATCATGACCTCTTTTGATTTAATCTGTACGATCTCTCACACGTGCATGGCTGAAATGGCTTCTTAAATGTTTTAATGTTTTTCTTTTTTATTAAAAAGAGAACACTGAACAGTTTTTATAGGCAATTTCTCATGATGTGTAACCAATCAGGTAACGAAAGAAAGAGAGGCGACTGCCTTAAGCGCAACTTTAAATTTATTTATTTGATCTGGAATCGGTAAAAAAAAAAAAAAAAAATATCAATAATCTGCAGAATGGTGAACATCAGATAGCTGTAGTCTAGTGAGCTCGACTTGTATTTGGGCAAAGTTACACTCTTTGTGCTAAGCTAAAGCTAACTGACTTCCAGCTGCAGCTCTGATTAATGTTGATTTTATCAACTAACTCATGAAAAAGGGCCAATAAACGTTCTCAAACTGTCAAACTTTGCTTTGCCAGATGTTTGACTGCTTGAACTTTTCAGTCCAGCGTCAAGATGAACTTTAATAGAACTGCTGCAAATCTAAAATCAGCTGTTGGACTGACAACGAGCTACACGGAATAGCTGTGTGAGTTTTATTTCAGTTAGTGCTGACAGTTACAAACCAGAAAATGCACAAACAGAACCAGTTCAACTGCATCTTTCAGTCCATTCACAGACTTCAGATTCTCCTCTCTGACCTAAAGCCAAAGAAAGATTTGTTCATGTGGGTTTCAGTAGAACCTGAAGCGTCCGAGATCACAGGAGCAAAACATGAAACGGATTTTTAAAATGCTGAGTGACAGAAAGTTTCCGAGAGCGACTGAGAAGCAGCCAAACAGAAACATATGAAGTCGTCAACTCGAAGGGAAACACTTTTTACTTACAGTGAGAAACAAGCTGCATTCTCACGTTAAGCTTCTTCACAACATCCAAACTCATCATTAATGTCCACATAGGATTCATTTGTGTTTAAATTTAGTTTTGCAAATGTTACTCAATGTTAAAAACTTGATTAATTAAAACCAGGAAGTGAAAACAAAACAAAGAAAACTATTCCAGAGGACATGGGTGTAGATTTCTGCTCCATATTTAGAAAATGTGCCCCCTCGAAATAAAAACCTAAAAGAAGAAAGAAAGCACTTTTAGTTTAGTTTATCAATTGTGACTGCATTTTGGGTTTTAATTGGCATTAATTAAGACATTTGGAATATAAATTGGTTGCAAAAAAGGCACAAAATGGTGCCGAAAAACTCAACAAATTCAGCGTTTGATGCTCAAATGTTGAAATCTACACCGGTGTCAGACGGGATAGAAGCTGTTTCATGAAGTCTGCAAGACGCTAAAGTAAAACTTTATTTGTGAATTTAAAATAGCTCCCATCCATCCCCTAAAAACAGTCTGTTTGTGTTTGAAGCCTGGGACGGGTTTCCACGATTCTCTGAAGGGAAGCTGAGCCGAGTGTCTGTGACGACTCCTGTACAGTTAATGAGCAGTAATCTGGCACAGTAAAAAAAATAATATATATGTACATTTATATTATCTGCAGTTAAAGGTAGCGTTTCATTTGTTGTAGGTGTAAAGATTTTTTGTAAATACACTGTTTTCTTACATAAACTGCTGTTTTCGTGTCTCTTTAATGAACTTTTCTCCGAAGCTTCGTCAATAACTTTGTATTGAAAACCCGCCGTCGATCCGACACTGCATAGACAGACAGAAACTCTTTTGGCACATGAATATGAGGTTTGACAGCAAATGTGATATTTCAAATGCACAACACAAGGCACAAACAGGAAGCTTTAGCAAAGCAAATTATACTTTTGTAGCTAATCAGTGCCACACAATAAAATACTGTATATTTAAAAAAAAAAAAACTCTTTCATGTAAAGTATCGAAGAGCAGACCTGATTTAACACACTATAAAAACACGAATACCACAAAGAAGCAACGCAGACGCTGTGAAGGACATCACAAGTAATGTGCTATGATTTAAGCGTATTTTGTTGTTATACATAAATACATGGTGAAGCAGTACGATGCTAGATATGAGGAGTTAGAGACAAAAGAAAAAAATCCACCGTCTGATCCAGTCAGTCTGTAAAGTTCACTGCTTCAGTTTTGGCACAATAATTCGTCTTCTATACATTTCCCAGAAACGCTTTATCACTGAAAATGAACTCACTGCGGTCAGCTGCAGGTGATCTGAAGCTAGAAGAGCTGGAGTTCGTATCAGCATCACTATCTGGTGCATTTTCTGCAAATGTAGAACAGAAACTGAGTTGGTAAGTTGGAAGCGCTGCTGGTTTTGGAACCGTTTTCTTTGTCCTCAACATAGAAGCACATCTGCTGATACTGTAGGTTTGTGTTACAGCGTTAATCATTTAAACTACATGAATCAGCCACAACATTAAAACCACCGACAGGTAAAGTGAATGACGCTGATCATCTTGTTCCAATTATTTTACATAACCTATTAGAGCTGCATGA